TTAACAGAAGACCAATCTGCAATGTTACGTATCAGGAATTCCGATAGAGTGCGCTTCTGTTAAGATAACAGCTGTTAAATCAGATGTTTAAGATGCAAGCCACGTGCTTTTGAAATTCGACTTTTAAATTGCATTTTTAAAGTGTTTAAAAAAGCAGTTTATAAGCGTTCCAAAAAATTTTTGTGATATGAATTCGATGAATGGTGGTGTGTACTTAGTGTTTATGTGTTTAAACGGTTGAAATCTATCGTGCTGTCTTTAAACTTAAGTGATAAAGTGAGTTGCCTAAAACGCGTTTTTTAAATAGAAAACTAATTTTTAAATAGAGCAACAAAGTGAGTCCAGCGGAGTCCACTTCTGAAACCTATTGAGATTTGTAGAGTATTAAATTCTTTTTAAAATGTATATGGTTAGAATCGCCACTTATTGCCACTTTTTACGAAATTTTAGTTTTAAGCACATAACCTCAAGTTTTGCAACCTTAACAGTAGTTGCGTTGAATATTAGAATCCTTTTGATTTTCAATGAAATATTGAACTAGAATCCGAAGAGCATGATGTTTAATAGCAGGTCCCATTTTTTTACTTATTAATAAAATTATTTTAATCCGATTTTCGTGCATTTACATTGAACCTTTGTGGAACGAAGAACATTTTGCTTTGCATTTTGAATTCTATTCAGAAGCATATAAAAAAAATATAAAAAAATATAATATAAATGTAATTATAAAGTATATAATAAATAAAAAAAAATTATTTGATTATCTTGAAAAATAACAAAGTTGACTAAATCGATCGTATGGCAGCTATGGGATATATTTGTTCGATCCTTTTCTTTTTAACATATATGTTGCCTAAGGATACCAAAAAACGATTGGTAAAGTTTTATCTCGATATCTCTAAAATTGAGCGAGTTATTAATTTTGGCCAACAAAAGTGGTCGTTGGCCCCATAGTGTAATGCTTTCAGTAAAATAGTTTCCAATAAAGGGGCATAACTGGAAACATTATTTACAAGTAGTCCATTTGAATTAGATCTCGTTTTGGAATATTAAGTTCTGAATATAAAAAAGCTGATTAATCAACAAAGTTATTTAAAAATATTGAACAAAAGAATATCGACAAAAAAAATTTAATTCATCAAAAATATAAATAAATATCCCAAGTTTAGGTATAGCAGAACATTGTTTTTAATTATATCCTTATTTACATAACTGGATTGTTTTTTAACTTCTCGATATCGATAAAAAGAAACACGATAACTTGAATTACAACTGGTCAAAATCCTCTGCTTCATCGAAAAAAAGCAAGAAACATGAGCCAGACCAAAGCGATATAATCTTCATTTTTATCATGGCTATTTGACAATTCAGCAGAAACAATAGAGAAACAATAAGAATCTTTTTACGCTTTATCCAAGTTTGCCTTAGTTTTTTTCACCTATTTTTTTTCCATTTGCCATAAACATTTTCAGTGGAAATACCACAAAAGAACAGATTCCGGTCTCTCATGACATTCTAATGAAGTTAAATTGCTAATAGCGTGTGTATGCGTTCCAATTTTGATTTCCATTTCAGATCAAGCATAAATAACTAGAAATGAAAGGAAATGGCACAAAGGGAGCAGTCATTAAAAATGGATTTGATTAACTTGACTGGGGGGAATTTGGTCTTCTTAACATTCGATTTTTCCGTTTGCAAATCATTTACTTTGTATTCTGCACATTGGAACATTTGAAATTATTTGTAAGTTTCCTTACAAATACAAGTAAAACCAATTCAAATCATAATCACAGTCTTTCCTGTTTTTGCATTAACACAACACTTGAGCAATCGAGGAAGGAAATGGGTGATAAATTAGGGATACAAAACAAAGGAAGTGGGTAAGGGTAACTTAAAGAAAATTAGAATTATATTAATATATTGATCTACAAAATATTTGGTTTGTTTGGTATTTCTATTAATTTCAAACTAATACAAAAACTGCACTTGAAATTTTTGCGGTCTTGTTTATTTTTGCCCATTATCTTTCCCTAATCTCTGACAAACATTTTTTGTAGATTTTTTATCTGTACATCAATCACTGAACTTTTTCCGCAAGAAAAACAAGAAGAAGATACAACTGCTCTTGACTTTCAAATTGCGTTCTAACCAAGAAAAATAGTACAATAAAAAAATGAGAAAACAAGTCACTTTTGGTCCATCGTCATTCGCAATCTATCTTACCTCCTATTTATCTTTTGCCCTCTTTATAAAATAGTTTGTTTTACTGTTGTACAGTAAACACTAAGGACACTAATATTTAATATCTATGAACTGAAAACATACAATATACTGATAATAGGTAGTGGCAAAAGCCAAACATTTCTGTATACCAAACAAATTATATTGAAAACAAATGATTTCTTTTGATTCACGGTTTCTAGATTTTTCTGTAGGGATTTTATTCCTTGGAGAATGGGATGACCTATCCCTACTGCTGTTGGCTTTTTATTTTGCCCTTACTGTAATCTTTGTGGCAGGTCAATGGTGTTAAATTACATATCCATTATTTGTAGTCTCTTTCCATTCGAATTTGTATCACCTTGTCTTTTGTCTCCGCTTGTTTGTTTTCCGCTTGTCTAAGCCACAAAAACTAAAGTCGAACCTAATCATCATCAGCTTTATTCATTATCACCTGTTTTTGTATTCGTTACGTTTTCCGGATTTTTAACCTCTACGTTTTGCACTGAATGACTCATTTTAAAAAACTGCTGTTGAATGCCAATTATAAACTCAATTGAAATGCAAAATGTTGCTAAGCGATATTTGCAGTTTTAGTGTTCCCAAGTGGAAATCAGGCAAAAAAAATAATACTGATAGATAGTAATTAATATTAAGTGTTAACATGCGTTCTTTTGGCTATCACCAAATGAATGGAAACAAGAAACAGGCGAGGATTTAAAAATATATGACTTTTAAAAATATTTTAAAGATGTTCATATCTTAAACCTTTTTTTTTATATATCCCTAATAAATACCAGTTTTTCTTTAACCTCTACTCTATGAATCGAAAAGCTTAAACAAATTATTAATAGCATTAGCGAAACTGAATGCCACCTGTTTTCTCGGCAACAAAGGAAACCGAGCATTAGCATAACTTTAGATAAAACAGGTTAAAGATAATAACAAATGGCATTGGATCGAGTCAAGGTCAAGTCATAGGTTCTTAGATGTGTGATAATTAAATGAAATCAAATCAAAAGCTGCAGTTACATATTTGGGCATAACTTGTCTACAAAAAAAAAAGTGTAATCAAAAATTGAAACCACCTATTTCAATCTAAACACAAAAAATCTTATCAAATCTTATCTGAATGAGACCTACTTTCTTGGAATTTTAATTGAATGGCGACTGATAAACTAAATCATTTGCCAGAAATGATATACAATCGTGTCACAATATAACAATAAATAAAAAAAGCTATTAATACAAAAACATCCATGAGTTTAAAATAAGCTTATTTATATAATTTTCCCTAACCCTTTTTTACCCACAGAATGCAATATTACAATTTCTTTTTAGCCATTCGTTATGGCGTAATAAACCCAATGCAGCCACCCTCACAGAAAAAAAAACTAAAGCAATTTGCAATTTACGGTGAACAAAATAACACTGTGGAAACTAAAACCCCAGACCAGCTTTTACTTATTTTCTCGCTCAGAATTGCGCAGGAAAAATGCAATTACGCTAAGGAAAAATAATACCAACGCCCCCACAGGACAAAAAATGAAGGAAACCATATAATTGATTGCAAGGAAAATAAAACCAAAACCGCACAATGGCGAAGCTTTAGCCAATTAAAGGAAAATAATAAATACGAGAACTCTGTGTTAGGAAAAAATAAAAAGTATTGGTTGTCAGAGAAAAAAATCTACTATAGAAAAATAATACCCAACAGTGGAATAACTAAATAATTGGAAAACAAAAATAGTAAACTGAAGGACGCAAATTTTAGACAAGGTAAAATAATATACACAGTTTTGAACGGATTACTAGTATGTAAACTAATATGTGGCTCAACTAATTTCTGTTCATCGAAAATTATGTAATTAAATACATATTTGCCTGTGGGAAAGCCAACACTCGCTTTTCCCGTTTTCAAATTAAACGGACAAAGGAAACTAAATAATTTATAAATAGGAAACAATAGCAGTTACAGGAAGGAAATATGAAGGGATTGGGTTTAAATAATTAGTGAATGGAAAACAATGATGGGAAAAATGCCAGTTGTTCTAATTCTGATTAAGACGAAATGCAGCTTAAAACTTGCACAAAGTAAAATTCAAAACAGACATTAACGACATGGAACTGAAAGTAAACTTAACTTTAAGACAACATTTATTTGTATGTTAAGTGCAAAAGAAAGATAACCCAATTTTCAACTAAGAAATAATGCAGGTGCTACATAAATCTCTTTCTATCGAATTGTAACCCCGAAACAGCATTACAAGGATATACAAATGTGAACCATAAATATTGGTACTTTCTATGAAAAAAAAGTCAGAGTAAAAACCTTGGTTATTTAGAAAAAATTGAAATGAGCTCATTTTCCATTACTTTTTCCTACGCTCGATATGATTCACGTTTTTTAGGATAAAATATACAGATAATTTAATGTACTTTTTGCTTTGAAATTTCAGTTAATTTAATATGGAAATATCAGGCGGTAAAACTATTGCTCATTCGTTCATTTTGTTTTTTTCCAAGTTCGATGCAGTTTTTTACTTTTCGTTTTTTCCTACTTGACAGGCAAGGAAAACTGAATGGAATGGGCTGGAAAAGACAGCAGCAGCAAGAACACAGGAAATGAGCTTTGCGGCGGAAATTTGCTGGGTGGAAATGGGTATGTTTGATTACTTGTATTAGGTCGCTTGTCCACTTTTTTTTTCTTCCTCTTTTTTTTTTTCATTTGTCCTTTTTCCCCACCAAGTTGTACATACGTCTATTAAACATTAACTCACCTGTGAAGCGATGCTGCATTTGATGGCAGGCGTTGCTGATAAGCGGACATATTGGCAGCCTGTTGCTGTTGCTGCTTTTGGTGTTGCTGCTGTTGCTGTTGCGATGCTTTATTCTGCTGATTAGAGATGCTGATAGATGATTGATGCAAATGATGGGACGTTGGTCCATTATCATGCTGCTGCTGCTGCTGCTGTTGCTGCTGCAGCTGTTGCTGTTGCTGGTTGCTGCTGGCAACAACACGTTGCTGCTGGTGATGCTGCTGCTGCTGCTGCTGATGGTGTTGCTGCTGCTGATGTTGCTGCTGCTGCTGCTGCGCACTGTTGGGTGTGTTGTTGTTGTTGCTGCTGCTGCTGTTGCTGGTGCTGTTGTTGTTGTTGTTTGTGGGCGGCGGAGCACCGACCTGCACTGAAGTGGAGCGTATAGCTGCTTCCATTTCATGCCGAACTCTTTTGGCTTAAACACTTGTTGTTGGCCGCAGAATTGATTGATTTGTTAGGTGTTGTTAACGTGTTGCTGTTGCTGTTGCTGCTGCCGACAGTTGCAACATTATTGCACTGCGACATTCTCTCGGAAGTGCCCCACAAAAAAATATCGCTTTAATGTTAACACTTGTATTTTTTTGTTTTAATTTCCCTTTATTTATTTCTTTTTAAGTTTAACTACTTTAGTTGCTTTTCGGGTTGCTGTTGTTGCTGCAACTGGGCAACAACAGTTGCCTTAATGCGATTGCATTTTTTTTGGCCGCACTTTTTTCTTTGCACATTGAATCAATTATTTATATATATATAATTTTATCTCTTGATATTCTTTTCTATTTACACATATGCACTGCTCTGAAATAATGATAAAGAAGGGATTTTAGCACTAAAAATTATTTTCCGTTTCTTATATAATTTCTTTTGTAATTTTATTTTAAATGCATCACTTCACTTTACGCAAAAAAAAAACATTCAAAAAATAATTGTTGTGAATTGCTTTAGCAATTTAACACTTTAAAAAAGTAAATCGGTATGATGTGTGTGTGGCCATATTATATCTTGTATTTCATTTTCTTTATTTTTTTATTATTATTAATTTTTTTTGTAATCCTCTAAACGAACCGAACCGAAAAACACGACAACGCAAACGAAACGAACTTTTCCATTAATTAACAGCTTTTGCACACTTATTCAGTCCTCTAGCCCACTCTCGCTCGCACACTCGCCTCCTTTCTTTCGCTCTATCACAAGAAACACACACCGAAAAAAAAGAGGGAAAAACAAAAGAAGTTTACTTCGTTTTATCATCCATCCGTCCGTCCGACCGCCGTCCGATTCGACCTGCAAAAAGGAAAGAAAGAGAAACACTCTGATTAGTTGCAAAAAAATTAAAACACAAAAAGACACACACGAAAGAAACAAACGATAGCAGGCATAGCAGGTTAGATGATTAGAAAATCGATAATGTCCATAAATATTCCAGCAGATAATGTTCCCCAGTCCCCCAAAAACCCCCGAACCCCGAACCCCGAACCCCCAAACCCCAAACCCCCAAACCCCCGAAACCACAAAACCCCGGGTACCGGTTTGAAGTGCAGCGCATTATCGCCCGTCTGCGATTATTTCTGTCATTGAATTGCCTGTGCCTGCCAGCCAGCCATCGCAATCCGTATTTTGTTATCGACCAGGGGCTTAAGATATTTACGGCCAAAAGTCCTCCAGATCAAGCATTCGACGGCAACGGAAAACACATTCAAGTAGCAGTGTAATTCAACAAAAAAAAAATACTCCACTGCATGCACAGATGTTCCAAATCAAAAAAAAACCTTTTTCTTTGGGCAGGTAGTTTTAAAAAAATGTAATAGAATTTCTGTTGAATTGTGTCACATTATTGTAAAAAACTTTGTCTTATACAAAATATTATTCTATCAAAATGAAAAAAAAAATCGACGGTCAAGCGATTTTTTAAAATCCATTTCCATTGATTCATGATTACTAAACCACTATTCATTAAGTTCCCATAATTATTTTTAAATAAAAAGCAATTAATGCATCAATTAAAATTCACAGACTTTAAGCCCAGCGAAATGATTCAACAATTTCTACTCGAATAGTAAATTGAAATATAAATAGAAATATAATTATTCCGGAATTTTATCATTAATTTTTTATAATGTTTGTCAAATGAGATTTCTGGCAAACACACATTAACGACAGAAAGTAAAGGCCACAAAATATTTAAAAAAAACAATTGTCTTTAATGAGAAATGTTTTTCAAACAATAATAACAAGGCAATTGTACCTAAAGCTAAACAATTTAATTCATACAATTAAAATAGAAAAAAACAATTAGCAAATTGTAAGTTTCTGGATATTAAAACTTTTAAGCAGTTTTTAAGCTGCCGTGTCAATTAAATTTCAGGAATTTTGTCTGCCTTTTAAGCCTTTATGTAACTTTCCCCGAAAACTCTTTCGTATTACCTGCTAAATTTATTTCAACACCCAATGGAACTTAAGCGCTTTAAAAGCAGAACTCATCAATAATTTTTCGCCCACTCATCTATCATTCGATAGCAGCATAACATACATATATATACATATACATATGTATAGCATCGTTTATATAACGTACATACATATAACAGATATATATGTACATACATATGTATGTACGAAAAACAGAGGAAGACAGCTGCCCTGGTAGAAAATCATGGGTGCTGAAGTTTGGCAACGTTGCCATGAAAAACTCGCAATATTTTTGGCCACATGTTTTCTACCTCTGCCGGCGACGCAGTCAGCGTTTTTATTCCTCTTTTTTTCTTGTTGTTGTTGCTTGCAGTTTTGCAACTGTGTTTGCTTTTAATGAAAGCAATTAAACTGCACGGCCGCAAATAACTAAAACAAAGCGGAGTGCAAACAACGACGAAGCGAAATAGTAAATTAAATTCACACTACGAAAATTAAATTGAATTTAAGATGCGAAAATTAAGCACGAAATTCCAGCAAAGTAAACTAAAAATAAAAAAAAACAAGAAAGAAAAGAGAAAAAAACTCAACCGAGCAGACGAAACAGTGTTGTCGAACTTCAGAGCGTGAGAAGGAGAGGGAGGGAGATGGAAGAAATAAAAAAACTTAAGCACGCGTAAAGATTAAAGCAGCGTTGTTGCCGAATTTCACAAGCAGCATGGCAAAAAAGCAAAAGGCAGAAAACAGCCCCAGTGCAAACAAATTAATAAAAATAACAACACACATACAACAGCAAACACCAACAATACATGTATGTTCATACATGTAAACGAAAAAAAAGAGGCTTAAAAACTATACGAACCAAAATAAATGAAAATAGTAAAAGCATAAAAATCCCAAAAGGAAAGCACAAGCAAAAGCCAGCAGAGCACCATTATAATAATAATAATAGCATACAAAATAAAATACTGTAGACACTCTAAAAACAAAAAAAATTTTTTATTAATATTATTATTATTATTTATATTTTCAGAAAAATATAGGCATTGACATTTCTTGCTTTTAAATTACAAACCTTCGCCGAAATACTACTTGTAAATAATATATCAAATATTTGTATTAAGAAAACAGAAATATTTGTAGAATAATAAATCATGTTTAAAGGTGACAAACAAAACTTATTTATAAAGTAAAAAAAGAGAATTCCCTGTATTTGAATCCTTGACTTTTAAAGTCCTCATAAGTTTATTATATCGAGTATGCACAGTACTAAAAAGACAAAAACAAACTTAAAGAAGAAGACGAAAATGATGCCGAGGCACATGTTTAAGAGCGAACGAGAAGGAGAGGTAGCTAAAGAGTAAGTGCAAATGAGAGAGAGGTAGTGGGAGGGAGTGGAAGGGAGATGGCAACACGAGGGGGCTCTGCGCACAAGTCAAGCGGAAGACAGAGAAAGAGGATCGGAGAGGGAACAACAAATAAACCAAGCAGTAATAGTGCAAAGAAGACGGTTGAAGAGGGGAACGGCAAAGGATGAAAGGAGAGAAAGAGGGTAAGAGGTAGAGGATAACTGCTGAGGTTCAGCAAAAACAGAGAACAACAACTGAGGCGGGAACTTCTACACAGTCTCAAATCCATACTGACAATACGTAAATATGTATGCATATACAGTGGCGCTTAAAAAATTAGTTCACAAAATATGCCAATCATCAATTTAATAAGAGTTTTTATGGTTGTAATCTGAACTACATATTAAAATTGTTTAACATGTTTTCACATATTATAATGTTTTTGATCAAAGGCAACTGTGCGTATGATTGATAAACTTGGAAACCTACGCGCAGACCCTAAAACTTTTTTCTTTTTTAATTTTCCTCTAGAATACCTTTAATACAGCAAACCGCATAGTATAATTGGGTGAGAGAAGGACCTTACATTTTTCATTCAAACTTAGACCGCCCTAATGTTTCGTACATTAGTATAAATTCATCATATGTATTTGCAATTGTAAGCCCGTTTAATTATGCATAAAAGGCACTTATTGTTATCTTTTAATGGATATTTATTAATTTGTGCTTAAATATTTCAGTAAATTTATTTACCAAAATTTTGGAAATTTCATTTAAATAAAATTGGACAGGTGCTACTTTTCAGGGCTTGGCTGTATACACACACCTATACGCATACTATGCCAAAACAAACAGTAGGCGGCATGGCGAATGGAATGAAAAGAGGAAATGGCAGAGGAGAGGGGAAGGATGAAAAGACATTCCGCGCAGGAACGTTCGTGCATGTGGTGGAGTGGGTAAAAGAGTGCGGGTGACGCAACAGCAACAACAAGTGCAAGGCGGCAGAGCCGTTGGCAACCGAATACCGCACACACAAACAGTCACACACACACTCACTCAGACATAAAACTCGCAACGTCATAAAACGAATCGGACAACAAAGCGACCAAGCGACTAAACGACGAACGACGCGACAAAGCGACGACGACAAAACGACAAACTCGCACAAATTCCCCAAAGAAGAGAACCATGTGCACGAAAGAGAGGGTGGGCGGCGGGCAGCGAGAGCGAGCGAGACAGGGCGAATGCTCTCATACCAAGTTTTGTTGTAGTCCGCTTTTATTTTGTACTTTTAAACCCCCCGCCGGCCCCATTCAAATTGGTTGGCTTTACTTTTTGGGCTATTTTCTGCATTCGCTTTTTTGACAATTTAAAAGTTCAGGCAAATGCACAATATTTATTTTGAAAAAAATTAAGTATATGTTGCAATTAAATTGGAAATAAAGAATACTAAGGTCACGTTTTTTTTGTGGTCATTTTCTTGGACACAATTTTGACCATCTGAATATTTGCAATAAATACCGAAAATAAATATGTAGTTTTTCTACAAATAAAGTTTAATTTCTTTATCGTTAAAAGTAAGCTAATTTTTAATTAATTCACTTCTACTATATCTAATGATTTTTTCCATAAGTATGTTTGTCGGTAATTAATAAAAATAAGTAATAACAATATAATTTATTTATATAATTTATATTTATAATAACAACACTGTTGTCTATCAGTGTTGTTAAACTAGAATTACTAATAAGAAATGTAAGAAATAATATAATAATATTTTTCGAAAATTGGTGGAAGAATTTTTGCGCTACCTCTGCAAATAGCTTAATTTTCAAGTGAAAAACGGCAACAGCGTAATTTTGGCTCCCACAGTGCAGTTTGTGCGTGTGCGTGTGCGTGTGTGTGTCTGTTCTTCGTGTTTATGTGTGCATGAAAAATGATAGGAGACTTTTACGAAAAAAGACGAGAAGAGAGAATGATAAGAAAGGGGGGGTGTGTAAAAACGAGTCTAACGAGTAAAACGCCGCAACAACAACAACTGCAATAAACACGGCGCGCAAGGTGAAACACGTACAAAAAGAAAAAAGAAAAAACCCCATGTAAAGAGGGAGAGCACGAGAGGGAGAGAGAGCGGTATAATAATAATAATAATTGTGGAGCACACACACACGAACACAGAGGCACGTATAAATAGCAGCGCATGCTTTTGACTGTTTTATTCATATATGTACATGTGTGGGTGTTTCCCCCTCTGTTTTGTTGTTGGTAAAGCCAGAAATATGTACAGTAAAATACATACAGACAGAAAAAGAAATAAGGAAAAAAAAGCTGAACCACAAAAAAAGAAAAACAAAAAAATCACGAGTAGGCCGAAAGCAATTTATTTCAGATAAGCGCCGCTGCCGACGTCGCTGCCCCTAGGCCCGGCTCTTCCTCTTCTTCTCCTCCTTCCTTTTCGTTTTCCTTTCCCACTTTTCGGTGTTTTGGGCAAAGTAAAGTATTGATTTTTCGTTTCGTTTCGAGCTTTAATTTAGTGCGCCTGGCTTTTTTCGGGCACTTTATATGGGCGTATAAAAACACAATGGAAGTTAACAATTTTTTTTTTAAACTTTTAGTTATTTCGATATTTTTTTTTTACATTTAATTATTATACGTCAAAAATGTTTGAGTGATATTATCGAACATTTTAGTTTGATATTAAATCATCAAAATAATATTAAACAAGTATAGAAAACATTTTTACACTACACTTTTTTTTACTAAAATGAATTTATGAAATACGTATAATAGAATTGATTTTGGTATTAAACTTAAAATTATTGGTTTTATTTCTATGTTTGGTGTCATTGAATTAGGGATTTTTGAAGGGACACATTTTTGTACTCAACTACTGTTTTTCTCAAAAAGAATCAAAAGCACATTGCTTTTAATGATTTTTTGTTTCCTTAATATTTAAAAATATTTTTAACACTATTATTTTATATTCAGCTGTATAATATTTACTTTTCTTCGTGCAAGTGTGCATTTTGTTATTGTTACGTCCGTGTTCTTTATCAGTTACTACTGTACTTGTTGTTTTTGCCTGGGAAAACGTGTTTTCCACCTCAAAAAGTTTCCACCGTAGGTTGTTTGTATATTTGTTTATGCATTTGTTTTTGTTTCGCGAAAACACGAAAGTATCTACCCACAAAAGAGACACGCACGTTGCAATTTCAAAAAGTGCAACGAAAACAAAAAAATAAATATTGCAATATTAAACACACATGCCGCACATGTGGTTTTTTCATTTTGTAGTTTTGCGAAAATAAATCAGTGCGAAATATTTGACGAAACTACAGACATACATATGTACATAGCATTGCAAATTAGAATTGCAACGAAAATATCACAAAAGTGTTTTAAATTATCCAGCTTAAGCACTTTTTGAGCAATTTTTGATTACTAGGTTTCTGAAAAACACTAATTGGCAAGAATGCGAAATATCTGATTAGAGCGAAACGGTTGATCTTATAAAACCTTGCATTTTCAAAATCTCAATTTGTTTCTTTTTCTACAAAGTTTGTTTAGTTGCTAGTAATACTGACGTGTTTCAATTTAAATTGATCACACAAACAAAGAAGACCAAAATTAAATAAACTCTGTTAATTGTTTGTTAGGTTATATTATACATTCTATTTATACATAAATACATACATATTTAAGATCTTCAAAAACTATACTGCATTATGTACCCAAAGAATCCTAAACTATTAACGATAATGAATTAGCAGACAGATCTTCAAAGCTGATCCCAATTTTGCAGTTCCGTATAGTAAGTTTCTTCTGGCCTTTTGCCTTTTGTTTTTCTTCTTCTTTCAGGTTCAAGAACATTCGGGAGGATGAGATAGTGGGAAACAGCGAGAAAAGAGGGACGGATGAAAAGGGCAGAAGGAAGGGGAGATAAGAAAGTTGCGAGATCAGAACAAGAGCAAAGAATTTGCTTTTAAATTACTTTCACATGTTCCAAGATTGCAATGGAATAAGAGGAAATTTCAGACTGGGAAAAATAAATAGAAAAAAAGTATGTTTTTATGTATGGGAATGTATGAGAGGGAGAAATGATCTTCTTTTGCTGGCGGGAATTATTCATATAAACTTTGACTTTTGTTTGTAATTTGTTTGTTTTTTTTATATATAAATATGCTTCAATGTTTGCTTTTGGAGCTGGCAAGCACAAACATTCCATTAAAATGTCAAGTAACTGTTTTATAAATCCTCTATTTTTTTTCATGCTTTTATTTCACATTGTATTGTCCGAAGAAATTATATTTTACAACTTTTTTTTGTCATAAAATTATTTATTTTAAAATATTACAATACCGTTTAACCAAGTTTCGACTATTAACCTACATTTTCAACCAATTTTCATATTTAATGAGTAACTTCGCTGATTATTTTGTAAAATGGTATTTGTGTCGGAAAAATATATTAAAACGATATGAAAACTTGTTTGCTTTTAAACATATAATGATACATGATATATATTTCTGAGATATAACTGTTTTGCATTGTCACAAATTAGATTTTATTTTAACAAAAAAAAAACGTAGAATAGCAAAATAAAAATAACTTGATTTTCAACATAAATGCATAGATCTCGAGATATCTTCGATTTTAAAACTACATTATAAATTTAAAATACATTTCAATAACATAGCTGCCAATGTAATGATCGTAAATTTATTGAAATACCTACCAGATTAACCCTGACGAATCAAAATCTAGATATTTGTATATAAACTTTTTAGCTTGCCCAAGAAAGCTTCCTTTCTTATTTCTAATCATTTCAACAATTATCACAAACTAGCTTGTTTTGCCATTTTAGTTGTAGAAATTTGAAAAAAAAAGTCAGGAACTTTTAGTTTAAGAGGTTTTCCCACCAATTGATTAACAATGAACAAACAAGGATCGTCAAAGGGCTAAAATGAATACCTTCTTAGCACAATGACGGTGGTTTCCTTTTCTCTTGTTCTCTACGATTTTCTTTTATTTTATTTTAATTTTTTTTTCTTCGGTTCTTCATCTCCTTTCGCCATCAACGAAAAAGCGAGGTTGCCAAACTTCATTCGAACGTGAATTTTTTTTTCGTTTGTCTTGCGTATTTCTTTTTGCTGAATTGTTTTTGCTTTACTTTTTGTTTTTACCAACATTTTTTGTTGTTTTTTTTTCTGGAGAAGAAAAAATCAATATGCGATTTGCGATTGTATTTAAATGAACAAGAAAAATAGCGCAAAACAACAAGAAAATCCAAGATTTATACACACAGCGCTGTATTTAAAATAGTAATATTTAACTAAAAATAGTGTTAAGTACTTTAAAATACACCAAGCTTAGACGATACTTTTTAAAAATCGAATTTTAAAGAAAAATTTAAAAATCATTGAAGCTTTTAAAGTATTAGTTTTTAAGCCTCTTTATTGTTTAACACTACTATTTATATGGAACACAACTGTGTATATAATATTATTTGTGTAAACAGTATTTGAGTGTGTGGCAACAAATAAAATATGGTGAGCACAGCTAAAAAAAAAAACCGGTTCAACAAGAAATTCTACGTGCGGCTTATATGAAAAAAAAATAAATAAATAAAAAAATATCAGAAAGCAAAGAAGACAAAACTTCGAGAGAGACAGCAACCAACAAAAACCACAGGCCACGTATATTTCATCTATGTATGTATATATATATAGTATAGTTATTCACATTTTAACCAGAAAAAAGAAATTCGTATGACAAAAAAAAACAAGTAATATTAGCATAATTAAAATGCTAATGGGAGATTTGAATATATAGAAGTTGCTCAAAGGCAAAGCCAAGAAAGGTATAAATAAATAAAACTACAAATGTATGGAAATATATACCATATACAAAGCGAAGCCCCAAAGAACATCAAAAAATAGACACAAAAATATAAAAGAAAAAATAAACTTGATATTTTTGGCGCCACACGTATAGGTAGAAGAAGAGGAAAAACGACGAACACATGTCATGGGGAATTGGAATTTCAAACATTAAATCAAGTAGGGTTGAAGAACCAGAATTAAGTGAAAATGTTTAAAAAATGCAATGTTTTCAAAACCGTTGAAAATCTTTTACTTTAAGTTATTTCTTTTTTTTTAAATATAATATAATTTTACTATCCAAAACTATATAAACACATGTTTTTAATAGTAAAGGAAATTGCCATATCCAAATATTCCACAACTGACTAGAAAACAGTTTAAATACTTTTACTTTTATAGAAACACGGTTGTTATTATACTTTTAAATGTTCTATTATATTTGATTCAAAACACATTTATAATGAACAAAAGTATTAACTTTATTTATTTTCTGACGAGGTTCCTACTTTAACACTTTTAATGGTTTATACCAGTAAAATAAGTATCTGCTCCAAAAATATTGATAACTGAAACAAAATTCTTTAAAATCTTAAAATAAATCTCACAATTCAATACATTTCCGTTTTACCATTCAGATAAACCAATTTTATGATAAAAAGCCGAATGCACATACATTTTCCCTCGACTGAAATTTGTTATACATATGTCGTTGTTAATAATCCAATGAAGTTATTCACACTTCTAAAGTTATTAATCCAATTGGAATAAATGTATAGACTTATTATCAGATTTTTTATTTGAATCTCTCACCCTTTTTAAGTCCTGTCTTTAACTAAACATTTTGAGGACCTTTCAATTTCAGATATCTTCATCACTTACAAAAAAGTGAAAACTGAAGATATTTTTTACGTGGTTATTTTCTGATTATTAAGAAATCAAGAATTAATAAGAATCAATAAGAAAATTAGTAGGCTTTGATTATCCAAATATTTTTAAACATTTCAAGTTAAATATATTTTACACATGATTCTGAATTTTACTTATACAAAAACCTCATGGTAGACATTTCAACTATTAATAGGATAATTCAACAATATTTGCACATGTTGTTAAAAATATCTGATAATAAAAATGTCTATGCCAATTGGCTTGTTTGTAAAATATTTAAATGCTTTAACAAAATTTCTATTTCTATTTTAAATAAAACGCTACAAATATCTTAAAGAAATATTTACACGATTCTTTTAAAACTTACCCTATGGACGATGGATGATGGCTAAATCCGAGATGAAAAAATCCGTGAGAATCCATGAATATTAGTTTCAACTTTACTTTAAATTGAATTTCATTTTTTTTGTCGTGCGGCACAAATAGCGCGATATCTTATTTTCTATTGATTTTTCTCATTCCAGTAACAAGAAAAAAAAAGTAAACTTTGTATGCATATAATTTAAATACATATATATTTCTTTTTTTTTGCGAAGGGGCGGGCATAATAGCGAATAACTGTATAAATTTTTTCTTTTAGCACAGGGCGTTGTCGGGCCCAAAAAAATTGGATTTTTTTGTCGGTTGTTGTTGTTGTTTAACAAATTCTTTCTATATATGTGATCTGTGTGTGTGTGTGCGGGCGACTTCTTTTTTTAAATGTATTAAAAAAAATTAGAACACACACACACAAAGACATTTAGAAATTTTTCCACTTTAATGAGAGAGCAAGCGAGTCAGAATAGGGAGTGCGAGAGCGAGAGAGAGCGAGAAAAAAAATCACGACGCAATTTTTATAATTTTTGTATTTTCTTTAGCTCTTTTATTTGACGGCTTTACTTCTTTTTTGCTGGCTCACCGACACACACACACAAGCACACAAAACCGCACGAATATTTAATACACATATGTATTTATATATATATATTTTTTTTTTTAACGAATTGCGTTGCACATTTACCTCGGTTAATTTTCGTGAATTTGTTATAAATAAATTCGCAACGTATATGTTATCTGGCGCAAACGTTGTCAATTTTTCACATGCTCTGCGCGCAGCACACACCCGAGTTTTTAGCCATTGAACAACGACAACGACATCGCAGCGCCAACTCGAAAACGGCGACGCCGGCAGCGACGTTGGCCGCGCAATAGTGACTGCGGCAGAGGCAACCGTTTTTTTTTTTCTGTTTCAACTGTTTTCTGTTTTTCCGTGGTTCGAACTACCAACAATAACTTGACCAAACAAATACTTATTGAGAAGAACCTCAAAAATAATTGCAAAATATGTTAATTATATGCCAGGGAATTATATATTATCTTGTGTTTCATCACAGGCGACGGGTACAGAGGGAGAGCAATTTTATTTTGCTTTGGTTCGCTATTCGCCGACGTCGAGCATCAAACCGCTTCGAACCATTTCGAGCCGTTTCGCGCCGCTGCCAACCGTTTCGAACAGCAACCATCGAAGTCGAACCATCACAGTGAAGGCCCAAAATATTAAGTAGAGTGGGGATTTTTGGAGAATAACTGCCATTAATGTTTATTATTTATTCCATTATTATTTGACAAAAGATTTCATTTATACCAAAGAAAACTTAAAATTGGCATTCAAAAAATATTAAAAGATAATTCTTAGATGCTTAATGTCTTTAAAATACTTATGCTTATCTTAATATATGGATGTGTATTTTAAACCTTGATTAGGTGTTTTAATATCACAGAAATAGGCTTTCAAAAAACATAAACGTAATAGTTTCTGATTTATTATTACTTATTTAAATAATGCTCCATGCAATTTAATTGTGCAAATATTGATAATAATTAAAGAACACTATCTCCTCTGGTCTACAAATAATGTTAACTACAAATTGGTTAAAGCACGCTATTGGTTTGAAAAAGTAATATATTAAAAAGATGACATTTCGTTATTATAACAATTATTTATTTATTTAACATTTTTATGATTGACGACGACACGGTCTTATAATTTAAAGGCATTTTTACATAGAATAAAAACCATTTTAATGACATGTATGTAGTTCTTATCGTATTTTTTTATTGTTTTAGAGTTAAATAAAAATAGTCTGAAGTTAAAAATAAAAAATTAATTATATAATCGATTGTTTACATTTATTTCAATGGATTTCCTAGTCTACAGTTTGATGTGGTATCAGTTGCACACATTTATACAAATATTTTGAAAAGTTAAAACGTTCTACGAAAAACAATTCGCTGAGTAACCCGAGCCTTTTTGGATGGCAAAAGCGTTTGATAAATTGAAAAATGAGCATTTGCAATGGTTTAAATTTCGTTCTTGCGTATCTTTGCACCCCCACCTTCCCCCCTTTCCCATTACTTCGATAATTTTCATTTGCCTGCGTTCATGTGTTTTGTTTTTCCTCCGTTTTTTTTTTCGTCGCTTGCCAATTTACAGTGAAAGTGAAATGCGCTGAGCGCAGGCGGTTTGAAAAGGGGCGGGGTTACGAGGGGTCATGAGGGGGAGGGTGGTGGGCGAGTGGCAGAGGGCAACGGCCAGAGTAGGCCGGGCCTTAAAAAAAAAAACCCGAACACACGTGCGATTTACCTGCAATCGCTCAATCAGGTTGCATGTTCGCTTCCACTCATCGAACCAATTTTCGCTAATTTGTTTGCGACTGCCTGCTGTTTTTTTCCGGTGTATAGCACACATTTAGTTTTTAAATTAGGTGTACAAACATACGTAGATTCATACATACATAGGTATTCTGCTTTACTTTTCCTTTTATTTAGTATTTTTGTAAAATCAAATTCGTGTTTTATCATTATCATATTTTAAATTTTTGTAAACTCTTTAAAATTAAAACAGAAAATATATAATTTATTGCTAATGCGTGTTGTTGTTTTTAAGCAAAATAATTGATTTAGTTATACATTTGCATAAAAACTTTAAAGTTCATAGAATCTAAAATATTTCGATTCATCATTTATATTTTGAGATCAGTTTAAAAATTAAACATCATTTAATTACAAATTATTTTTATGAGACATTTTTTGGCCTATTGAGTGATTGTGCTATTATTTTTTAATCAAAATTGTTTATTTGCAGCTTAATCACTTTAAATAAATTGAAAATTGCTTGGGTTGCTAAAGAAGTATTTTTAATGTTGGCTAATAATATTGGATATTAAAATATAACATTCCTAAGTAAACCAACTAAAATAATCAATTTGAAACAATTTGTTTTGAGAACATTTTCGCAAATGTTTCGTGTCTATTAATATTTTGCTTGTTGGATGGCTTTGTTATTATTAGGACTGTCAGCCCCTTTTACCCCTTTATTTTCTCTCCCTCACTCTTTTCTCTTATCTTTTTCCATTCCTCTTTTTTCCCTTTTTTTTTGTTGTTGCTTGCAACCGGCCGGCGGAAGACTTGCAACATTTTTCTAAGCGCGTTTTTTTCTTGCTCATTTCAGTTTGCTTACCCTGCAACGTTGCCAGTTTTCAGTGCAAAAAACACAAGCACACACAAAAGCGGCAACGTCGCAACATGTTCGAACATAAGCAAATTGAAAATCGGCAACAGCGCCTGTGGAAAAAACAGACTGCTGCAGCAGCGACATTTTATAACAAACATAAATAAATAAAAGGAGCAATGAGCGAGAGGGAGAAGGAGATACTAAGGGAAAGAGAAAAAGATACGAAAAAAGGCCGTCCACACACGTTGCATTTGCATGACATACCGCCGGCAACATCATACCAACATTTATCATACCAATCCCTTCATCATTATTTTTTGTCATTCAGCGTCAGTCATTCGAATCGAACGTAATATAGAATGTCGCCCATGGGCGCTAATAATTTATACGATGAACCCGATGTAATGGAGGAGTTCATCAGCTGTTATCGACATTTTACCGCCCTGTGGGATAGTAGTAGTACCGATTACCTATCTAAACAAAAAAAGGAACCGGGCTATCAGGAGCTGTTAAAAATTTTGCGACGCGTCAACGGCGGCTGTTCCGTTCAGGATGTCAAACGCAAGATAAACTCACTGAGATGCTGCTACCGTCGCGAGATCAAGAAGATACAGGCCTCCGATAATGGATACCAACCGCGTCTCTGGTGGTTCCATCTAATGGACTTCCTAAAGCCCGTTCTCAACATACAGTCACCGGTCAGGGTGAAATCGGAGAGCATGGACGATAGTCTCGATGAGACTAGCATCAATGTAAGTATTAAAGTTAATTTGAGGATGGTATATTCTGATTCCTGAAATAGATTACAATTTGAGTAACTTTAAATACCTTTATTAAAACTTACAAGATCCTCTATATATATTTTTTATATCAATTTATATCCTGACTTTAGAAGGCAAGATGAAAATAATAAAATAATAATAATAAAAAATAATAAAATAATAAATTAGTACATTAAGTTAAACTAATGTAAATGCTTAGCGTTTTAAAAGTAATGAGTACTTTTTATATCAAACAACCGGAGAGAGCTGAGAAGCCAAAAACGGTCCCAAAGTCGATGGGGGTTTGATTGTAGGGGTGTTCGTTTGAAGCGGTTTGACGGCGGTCGTACGACAATCGCCGGTCGTACGACAATTGTAGTTCAGTCAGTCAGTCGTTAGCAAGCCGTTCGACATGACGCAGCACAGTCACACGGCCATCGAATATTGGAGTGAGTTCTTCCGGATGTATCGCTCGATGCCCGAATTGTGGCTGGTGCGAAGCACACTGTATCGGGATCGCAAGCTCAAGGACGAGTCCTACGGACGACTTTTGGAACTAATGCGGGAGTCCGATCGCTACGCCAATATCCACACATTGAAACGAAAGATAAACAATTTTCGGACGTCGTACCGCCGCGAACTCCGAAAGGTCCTGGAAAGTGATAACACCTATGTGCCATCGCTTTGGTACTTTAAAGAGCTCGATTTTCTCTATGAACTGGAAACGGGGGAACTCCAGTTGGACAACGAGGCGGCGGTTCAAGATCAGGATCGAAAATTACTGCAGCATCATGAAAACCTTTCGGAATACCATACCGAAACGGAACCGGAAACCCTGGAATATATGCAGCAGCATGAAAGCGAAGTAGAAAACTCCGGCATGGGCGTCGATTTAACCGAAGGATCAGACGACGATCAGGTGATCCATCATCTGGAAAGCGAAGTGAGTTAACCAAAGTATGCAGAATACCATACAAAAACAGGGGAATCAATGATATTTTCATATGAACGAAAACATGTTAATAGTTTTTAGAATTTTTTTTTATATAATCATTTGTAAATTTTAAATATGAAAATAACCCCCAAAAATAGAATCAAAGAATTTCTGAAAAAATTAAAGTTATAATATTATCTCTATATATATTTATCTTATTATACAATACTAAGTTGTCCGTAAGGCGTACATATTTTTATACCCTTGCAAAGCGTATTATAACAGAAAAGTTTGACTATATTTTCATAAAATGTCTGTATTTGAATGTATTTTTAGGACGACGATATTTTTTCGGAGCCCTTTGCTACCGAAGAGGATGTACTGCGCATCGAGGCCGTCGGTGATGGCGATGGGGATCCGGAACCAGAAGCTAACCAGGAACCCGAACCGGAATCTATAACGTCTCTGGCACACCTCAAATCGGAACGCAAGGCGGACGATTATCAGGCAACATTTTCGGGGAGTAGCAAGAATATGCCGTATGCCAATCACGCCATCCCCTCGCCACGAAATAACTCGGATTCGGTGGGCAGAGAAGTAACCACGGATAAAGCTGGACGGCGTATCCGTATCCGGCGAAGACGCAGCAGCGATTACGGGGAGATAGCGAGGAAGCGTCGGGTCGAGGAGATTCCGGATAGAGATACGGATCGGGATCGCGATCGGGATAGGGATCGGTATCGGGAAAGAGATAGAGATAGAGATAGAGATAATAGGGGTCGTGAAAGTGAGAGCGAGAACGAATGCGAGCTGATCGGAAGGCGCATGGCCACCCACTTCCGGCATATGCGACCGGATCAGCGGCTCTACGCCGAACGGATAATCAGTGAAGTGCTAGTCTACGGCCGTATGAATCGTCTTTCGTTCGAGGCCCGCTTTATTCCTGGCGGAAAATAGGTTAAAAAAAAACAAATCAAATACCTTAAATTTGTATACCCTTAAGGAGAAAATAAAATCATAACTTCGTTGTTTCTTTACATATGTATATCCATATTTGAGATATTATATTTTCTAGCAATTTCAGGAATACGGTTTTAGTTTTATAAAAATCGGACGACTGTATCATATCGTAAAATCGACCTAACTTCATTGTTTTGAAGCATCGAAATCAAAATATAGAATATTTAATTTTTGTAACAGCTGCAAGGATGCTTCCTTTCCTGTTATTTCACTTTTACAAATAAATTGTTTTGGGTTTCAAATAAATGTTTATAATGTACATATAATAAACGCAACTTCAACTCTTTTAATTTAAAATAAATTTAAATTAAACGACAACATAATAACATGTTATTTACAAAATTTAAAGTACTGAAAACGTTAAAAAGTCTTATTATTGTCTTCCAAATAATAGTGTAAAATGGCTGATAAACAAAACTTAGAAGGATTGAATTTTTTTTTATACACAATTATGTAGGCATGTTATTATCTACATTTGTAAATATCTTTAACTAGCATCTTAACAAGAAATACGAAATAGAAAGTAAAAGAAAAAATCTTTTAAAATATTACTCAGTTTCAACGTTTATATCAAAAAATGACATTTTGCATCGCTACGAAAAAATGCAAAAATTGCAAATGGAAAGCAAACGGCGAAAGAAACGAAAGACGGACGCAAAGAGGAAGGGGGATTACAAAAAAACCGAGGAGCAGAAAAGAACTGTATAACCCGAACCGGTTTTATTTATTTAAAATTTGAGTGAGGTGAGTGGTTCTGCATGCGGATCCCCCGTTCTCTTCTACTTTTCAGCCTCCCTTCTCTTTCTTTTTTTTCTACTGATTTTCTGCTGCTGCGCTGCTGAGCTGACTGCGATTCTTTTATTCTTTTATTCTTTTATTTCAGCTTTCTTGACGTCGCTGTTGCGTTCTATCTTTCTTCTACCCTCCCTTTCTTTTCCGTTCACTCGTTCTTTTTTCTTTTTTTTGCCGTTTCCTTTGCTTTAGTAACTTTAATTTGTTGGCATTGCCATTGCCGTTATACTGCCGCCTCTCTCTTTCGCGCATTCTTTTGCCCTTTCTGTCTCCCTTGCCCTTTTACACATTGCTCTATTATTGCTGCACAGAACAAAAACTTGATACGCTGTAATGATAACTTTAATAATTTTCATACATAATACATTTATATGAAACATATGTACATAAATTCAATGAAACATAAAAAATTACATTTATTAAACTGTATTTGAAACCTATTTCCTATTTAATCACAGTTTCAAGACTCATCGTAATTACAAAAGTTACAAAGTTACATACAAAAGTATAAGTTTTAACATGATTGTATTTTAATTTATAAAAATTAAGTTGGATATGTTATTTCTCTCGGATTTTCGGTTAGGTCGGGTTATATTTTCTTTTTTTCTTACTGCTTTTCTTTTTTCGTCAGTGAGCAAGGTGGTGCGAATAGTGGATGGCAAACGCCAAAAGGGCGAAAAATAAAAGAAGGGGGTTGTCTTATGGGTTCGGTACATATTTATTTATGTACATTCTTATTATATACAATTTTTATCAGAATATATGTATTGTACATAGCCATACACACATGTTTATTATTTATGCATGCTCGTAACTTGAACAATTTCTTTAACTGTTATTTGCATATAGTCAAACCTTTGTTGTGGTTTCAATTCGTTAACCTTACTCTATAATATTTGTGTAACTAGAAAACTACAAGCACAAATACATAAGTAACTCTAAGAAATGTTTAATTTACTAACATTCGTAAAAATATTATTTTACGAAAATGTATCAAAATAATAATCAGACTGACAATTACATATGTATGTATTTGTTAAAGGTATTAATTTTATGTCCTAGGGATAAATACTTTCAAGAACAGATAGAGGTGCGGTTTGCATTTCTCAAGGATTACGGATTAGTATTTTGGGTTCTGCTTCGTTCTTCTTCTTATTCTGTACTTTTGAATGGTTTTTTATTGTGTCTTTTATTTCCGCTAATCTTTATTTGTTCTGTCCTCCACATGTGGAGGTTTTCATGTTTTCTTATGCGTTTTCTTGGCGTTTCATTCTTGCTTGGCTTTGCTGTTTTTACATATTTTTTTGCTGTTTCTCTAAAAAAAAATAAAAACCATAGAAAATAAATAAAAACAGCGCAGCAGCAGGTCATTAATAACTTTGTTGCCCTGTCCTTCCTGCTTTGTTTTTGCCTTGCTCTGAATTTTTATTGCCGTTGGTCGTTACTTCGTATTCCTCCCTCTTTGCCATCTCCCATTCTTGCCTCTATCCCTTCGCTTTTGCTGTCGATTCGTACACAGAAAAAATAAGATATTTTAGTTTTCAAAATGCTTTTGATATGCGAATAAAGATAATTTATACATTTTCATAAACCAGATGGTAACAAAAACTGGAGTTTTATTATGTGTTATATGAAATAGTTTGTATTTAAATTGGTATGTGAAATTACCTAACTAATGAAAGCAAATGTAGCAATTTTTCGTTCTGTGCAGTCATTTTGCCGTTGGAGTTCTTTCTTCTTTTTGTTGCCTGGTTTATTTTTGGGCTTTTCGCTTTTGATGTCGTTTCAGTTGTTGTAGCCGGCATTTAAGCCGTCTCAGAAAAAAAAAATTTAGCCAAATTACTGGCCTCCAGTTATTCGCCTCCTTTTCCCTTCCATTCCACACATACAAATGCACACAAAACTCAAATATTAAAGTAAACCACTGAGATGGATTTGTAGAACTTATGTTTGGACTTCCTGATGACTGAACAGATGTACTTTTTTTTTAACATTTAATCTTAATGTGTTATACAATGACAAATTCATGGTTCTTGTTCCTTAGGTTAATTCAGGTTGCGATTACTTTGTTATTTCTAGCTTATTCTATTTAAATATTTGTATTATTTTTTGATTTATATAAACAAAATCGTGTGGAAAACTTATCGCTTTGATTGTCATTTCCATAACAATAAAAATTTTTAAATTTAAATACATATATAGCATCTTAATTTTTAAAACCCAGTTTTTTGCGTTGACTTTTTGGGGAGTGCATTGAAAATGAAACTTGTAGTTTCTGGAAAATTCGCATGTCTGAAAGTTTAGATGCCCAATGTGATGTGTGAGTGTGTGTGTTTGTCGCCATTTGCCTTTCTCAGCGTCTTTGCTTTTGACATGTTGCCTCCCTCCCCTTTCCATTCTCCCCCACCAATCCTTCGCCCTTTTCCTCTGGCAAACAGTTTTTGGTCGTAGTCAACCGCAATAATCCATCCCCATCTGTGTATGTGTTTGTGGCACAAAATGAAAATGGCAAAACAAGGTCAAGTGTAGGGAGCAAAGTTTGTTTGAGTGCACACACGTACACAAGCTACGTATAAACAAATTAAATAAAAATAAGAAACATTAAGTTTGCATATGTATGTACATTTTTCATTAAACGCAACTGTTGTAATTCATTTTTTTTCTCATAAGAGTTTTTTCTTCTTATTTGTCACTAATTAATTTGATTATTTGATAAACCAAGTGCTAAAATATAAATTTGGGCAGTTGTCATCAAGTGCAAGTAAAACAAAAAAACTAAACCTCACTTACGTTTTCGCTCCATTCAACATATCATATTTTTTTGTTTTATCACTAATGACTTTAATTATCAATACATCCCATATTTAACCACAGAATATTCACTAAGTACACTTTCATGTTTTGAGCCTAAATACAATGACATACTCACATGATTGTTAAAAGGTAAAAGATGAAAATACAAATTTTAATTATTTATTAGTCTTTGTTTATTTTTGTTTTTTTTTGGCTCTACCTAAAGTTAATGGAAAATATAAAGTTTTAGGCCTGTGAGTCACGTTCAACAGGCTCAGTTGGCGTAGACGCCGACGCCGGCAGAGATGATGACTGCGGCAACGACTGAATTTAGAGGTTAACTTTTTGACGACAAAATAATTTGCACAAAGGTGCGAAGTTTTATGCGTTATTTTTCGTTTTTTCTTTAAATGTTTTTTGGAGAGCTGAACTTGACAGATGACACTCTTTCGCTGCCCGGGCCTCTGCCGACGTCGACTGCACAACGACACCTGTGGCTATGCGAAAAAGTCGACGAAAATGGGGGTAAAAATGAAATAAAATAAAACAACCCCCGTCTGAGATTTTCGCTACCAATTTTTCGCAGGCCTATGCAGTAATTCCCTCTCTATCTTTCTCTCGCCCGAAAAAAGGTGTGACGTAGAAACCAAAACACACACAAGCAAAACAAAAAGAAGAAATGGAAAAAAGCTTGAAAACAGCAGCTGAAAGTGTAACTAAAGTACACACACATAAAATTATATACCAATAAACACACACACACATGTATATACACCGACGCAAGCTTTGCAAAAAAAGAAACCTAAATAAAAAATTAAATGGAAATTTCTGATATAAAACACAACTCACACACAAACAGCAGTGAAGTTTGGCAACGCTGCGCTACGACCGCGCAGTCGCCATCGAGCGACGCCGGCAGACACAAAAACAAACAGTAAAGAAAGTCGCACGCGTGAGTGAGACAGCCAGATGGTGGGTGAGTGAGTAAGTAAGTGAGTGAGTGAGTGAATGAGCGAGTGAGAAAGCCAGTGCGTCAGAGGAGTTGTTGTTTTTGTACTACGCCGCACGGCAACAGCGCACTATGGGTCAAACAGTGATAATAATTAATATTTGTATATTATAGTCTTAAATATATAAAAAAAATTTAATCGGAAATCAGTTTCATGATTTTATTGGGCAAATATCAGCATTTCAATTTAATGTATATAAAAAATGTAATTCGATTGTAGGACTTTAAAATGATGCAATACATGTTTGCCCTATTTGATGGGATGTTCTAGGGTATTTTTGCGGAAATTATATATAATTAACATTTCTGTTCTTATTTTTATTTTATCTTTACCCCACTGTACAACAGTGGCGGGGTTAGAAGAGAAGAGAGCAAAGAGCAAACTGCAAAAACAGAAACAGCCCCGTGTGAATTTTGATGAGTGCGTTGCACT